CTGTGGGCGCTGCCATCTTACCTGCGACGTCACGGCTCTTGTGAGGTCACGTGACGAGTGGTCACATTTGCGTAAAACATGGCGGCAACCGGGGGGGTGCCACTTCCGAACTTCCGGTTTATCACTCTAAGCCCCTCTACCTCGTTGCGCCCACTACAAGCATCAGGTGAACATATATTGAGCGCATACACAGGCATCGCACATACAAACGTCAATACAACAGCACACTACCCCGATCACTACACCCGAGCCCTGCGTTTCCGTCTTTTATACTGGTCGTTTTGAACGTACGGAATTTTTCGGTGACTCCCTAAGCAATAAAAAATATTCCGAACATGTTCATTTTTATCCAGCAATGTCATACATCTGAGACTATTTTTAATGGCTCAGGGGATGAATCTCTTATTAAAAAGAAAACGCTCGATCATACCGTAATTATTTGAAAGCCAATAAATTGAGCCGCTCCAATATGGTTCCAAGCCATGAGTTTGTTTTCCCGCACGGCCCTTCGTAGCCAGTATTTATACTGTAGTGTTTGTTTCTCTTTTTGTGCTGTTTGCGCACGGCTGCAATTGCCGTCTTGGATTAATCTTTGTAGAGCGGATATTCACTCAGTTGGAAGTGATGCTTCACGGGCAGAGAAATCGCGCTTCGATCAACTTGAATGCAGTGAAAGCCGCGACTTGCGGCAACTGTTAAGTGTACGGAGCTACGCCGTTGCGAGCTCGAAAACTTCTAGCGCTCATCCCAGCGCGCCACTTGGAGGGCGGTTTCTACAGGAATCGTAATATATTTAAAGAGTAAAATAAAGGATACCGTTTTTTTTTTTTTTGATTTTACCTGTTTTTTTATGCTAAACTTCCATTGTTAATATACGTACTTTCCGTCATCCTTTCGTACTGTTCAGTCTTTTCCCCAGAGCGCAAGTGCTCTCGGCGACCGACAGTCACATTGGCCACTGTACGATAGGAGCTTACCGTTCAGACCAGCGTTCCAACATGACTATCCACACGTCGATCGACTGCACCTAATCCCTCAAGTGGTTTTAAACTCTTTAATGTAAAGCGGAATGTCATCCTGCGATACCCCGCCCCCTGCGATCACGGCCCGACCAGCGGCATCAATGCCCGACAGTTTACGTCATCTCATCTTGTTGTTACACCACTGATACGAGAACACAAGTCACATCGGCGATAATTCCAGTCTTCTGTTCACAACCCACAACACTGGCATCACGATGTCGCTGACACGCAGAAATACAGAATCACGTTGACGATGTTGCTGACACGCAGAAATACAGAATCACGTTGAACGCCGGTTGACACTCGGCACGGGACAACAGAACCGAACTCAGCACGGAAGGCACCCAGGCAGCCGGCAGGAAAACCTGCCTGCCTTGGACGCAGTTCCCGCGATTTCCATAACGTCGAAAACGTCGACACAGTTCCTCGTGGTTTCGCTGCTGCAGTCCCGCGTGTGTCCCGCAAATCGGAGACGGCCGTCTTACCCAGTGTATGTAGCGCTGCTGGCACTGCTCCGGAACTTCGCTGTTTCTAGCGGCTTCGTTAGCTCGTTTGATAAAATTAGTGGTAAAAACGTCAATGCAACCGAAATGTTCTGCACGTTTGGACTAGAAGACGGAATTACAGGCGGCCTTCACTGCCGCTGAAACTCAATCAACTCAACATTAATTTATTAAATAACGTGCGCGATGTGCTCGAAAAACGAAACCGAAAGAAGATGAGTCGGGAAGGCGAAAGCTTTCTCCGGTTTGCCTGGAGGAGGAAAACGTCTCGGTGAATAATAAGGACTTTAATTTTCCTTTCATCGGTCTGGGTTTGTTTATGTGTGTTTTGGTAAACAAAAAAAAAAAAAAAAAAAAAAAAAACTTTACGAGGAAAAACAAAAAAAAAAAAAACCGTTCCTCTGGGGATCGAACCTTCGACCAATTGGTCACTAGCGCGAGGTTTTACCCCTGCGCCAACTGAAGAGGGAGGAACTTGCCCTCCTCCTTTCATCTGAGCTGCTGTTCCTCCGTTCTCTGGGCAACTTGTCCGCAACAAGGAGGAACAGTCGCTGTTGCTACCTTTCTCCTCCTTTTTTTCTTAGAGTGTAGACTCGTTCGACCTAGTGCCACTAAATAAGCTACGCTTCAGAGTAACGACACTTGGCCATATTGTGGCTTAAAATAATGGTTGCCAGTTATCTGAAGCTTTATCTGAAATCACAGGAAACGCTTTTCCGTCCTCCAGAAATGTTTAAACAGTTCGCAACTAAGCAAAGCAATATTACATGAGCTTCCTAACACCGAATCTAATGCTGAGGAAGTCGCACTTTTGAATCATGCCGATCGGCAGTTGCGTCTGCTCTGCACAAGCCCCAAAATGGCGGCGCCCACAACAATGTCGGGGAACGGAGTGCCGATACTCTAAGCGCAGCTCATTTAGTGGCTCTAGTTCGACCCACCTGCACCTCCTGCACCGATGCAGAAAAGTGTTGGGCAGTGTACTTTCGGTTTGTGCATTGAGATATACGACCGGAAGTATACTGCCCTACACTAAATCCAACGAGCCTGTTTAGTGGGTAGCGACCCTGTGTTCTAGGGGTTACCGAAAAAATAAAAGTGGAGGAGTACATTATTCGGTCTTTCAGATAAAAGGTGCGCGTCAGCGACCCACCCTTTAGCGAAAACTTATAAGTTTAAGATCTGTCCAGATGTATTTCAGACGTATATATTAAGTGTATTTCGTATCTTGAAACTTTAAAAGTATACTTAAAATACACACTTCGGTTTTTATCTTACAATTAGAAGGTGGAAAGTCGGGCTAGTTGGTGATTTATAATATTTTGGTAATATTTAATCTCAATGCCATAAAGTGACGATAAACGTCCGTGAGAAAGCTCCACAGACGGTTTTGTCTTTGCTAGCAGACGACACGATGGCTTTGCGGGTTCAGTGGTCCTTTCTGAGGAAGTACGCGACTGCGTTAAATTAAGTCGGTGACGAGGGAATAACTTATTTTCACGGGGTCAACTTTTTGGGGGATTTTGGAAACGAAGACTGTCCGCGCACAAGTTGATCGACCCTCGAGGTGCGCGAGCGCGCAAACGCCTGCCCGTGTAGGCGTTTCCAATATTTGAGAACCTTAAAAACAATGTAAAGCCGCGAATCAAGTACGTCGACGACGTGAGTCCAAATGCAGGCCACCGCACGTTTCAAGGAGTTCAGACGGCGCAGAAGTTGCTTCAATGCATATCTGTGTGAGCAAACTAACTGTACGTAAAATACATATATCTATATAACTTACCTGATGTTTTTTTTTTCAGCTCTTTCACTATTTGGGGTCTTACAGAAAACGGAAGAATCAGCAGGATCTTTTCTCAATGTGATGGTTGCAAACCGGCACGAAGCGCACACCCATATGGCGAGCCTGGATAACACCACCTAGACAGAAGGCCTCCACACGCGTCATCATAGTCAGATCGATCGAGGCGAGAGATTGGGCACGAGTGCTGCGTCAGTGTTCGGCTGCGGCTCGTGGCCAATCAGCGCGTCGAAGGTCGGACTCGGGTCCAATAGCCGACCGAGCGCGATCCGACTGTGATGACGTTTCATAGAGGAAGAGGAAACCATGCGGAGGCCTTTTGTCTAGGTGGTGTTGGCCTGGAAAACAAAGTTTGAGGTCTCAAAGCGATATATGTTAGAGTAAAAACCAAATCCCCCCCCCCCCCTCCCTCATTACAATGCACGCCAACTGCAGAATATAAAAGAGGGTCTGACGCTACTTTGATATCATGTTCTAAACAATTCTCTCGCTGTATATAAAGCAGATTCTTTGCGTGTGATAATATTCGACTGGCAGTATGCCGTATCGCACGCTAATCTTGTACCTTTTTATGAACATGCTGAGTTTTCTTAGACCTGCCGTGTCCCCCAATTAATACAAAATCAAGATCGTACCATTAAGCAAACGATTCAGATGTTTTTGTTGTTGTTTGTTGTTTTTTGTTCACACCGGTTATATATACTATAGGTGACTACTGAAAATAAAGTTGAGTTGTAAGTTAGCGCTGTATCTCTGTCTATTTTCTTTGTCTGTGTGTCGCTGCGGTTTTCAGGCATTACAATATCAATATATATTTCTGGAAATAACGGCATTAAGAGAATAATCCAAGTGCAGCTCAAATGCACTTAAATGCATAGATAATCCATGTTAATATATATTTCATACTATACATTAAATTTGGTTATGTTATGCACGAAGGACTTTGAAAATATGAAAATTAAAAGAGACTGAACTCACTGCGTATAAATACCGTTAGTGCATTAGAAATAGATATAAAACATATATGTGAATATAAATTGAATTACTATTTTAACTCTCTTGTTAATACACTTAAAGTTTGTATCTTGCCATATTTTTAGTTCATTCGGAACACAATTTACTATATATATATATATATATATATATATATATATATATATATATATATATATATATATATATATATATATATATATGCGTACACGGTTTTGATTTGAAAGGTGTATGAAAAACAGTGGAATAATTCAAATAACTTGGTGCCTATAGAAACATAAAAATGATATATACATATATGTTATGCTTTGGAAAGAATAAGTAACGAGTAACGCAACTATATGTCACCCGTTACCCGGAATAAGTAACGTAAGTACGTTATACATCACTGCCTTAAAAGCGTAACGAGTACGCTACTGCGTTACCAAAACAAGTAACGCATAACCTGTTACGTCGCATCGCCGCCAACACTGGTAGCGACAAAGACAGTCTAGGTGGCGTAAGGTACAGCCGTGAGCATTCATCCATCCATTCATCTAGCTAACGTTTTCCGTCTACGCAGCAATTCTTTTTTTATTCGAGCTTGGAGCTCCCCACGTGCGGTGTCGTCTCCTCCGCTGCCTCAGTTTCTTTCTGGAAAATGTACTCGAATATTGATGTTTCGCCCAACCTATCGTGCAGGCTACGCTCGCGACAACAGCGGGTCCTACGCTACTCTTTTCATTGGACTGGCGGGCATCAACGTGATCCAACTCGTCGTGTGGCTGGTCTACGCCAGAACACTGAGGGCCCGTTCGGGATGAGGCGACAGAGGGTCGCTGCAGACCTGGCGTCGACACTGCGGAACTTAAGGACGTGTTCTTCCGCTGTGATATTCACAGCACTCTGAATCACGTAGCTGAAGCCAGAATTTACCGCAAAATGCTTTTGAGGATGCCCGTAGAAACTGGAGGTAACTGTATAATTCTTAAATAAAATAAATATTTATACATTTGTAGTTACACTATATTCTTAAGCTGTGCTTGAAAATCACTATTTATACGCCGCTGAATGTATTCTTTCTTTCTTTTTTTATTGAAGCTTCTATGCACCGTATTTTATTAAGTCCGACTGCCAATCAAGTCCTGTCGTCAATCTTTACTCTTTGTCCCTGTAGTTTGGGGCGTTTAATTGTACAGAAGTAATTAAGCAGCGCCAAAAATACATGCTACGACGCTCCTGTCTTTTTTTTTCTGTTTGTTTTTTTGCTTTTGTTTTTGACGTTTGAAACAATAACGCAGTGCATGTGGCGTAATTCCGCGCTTTATTGTGCGCGAGATCAGTTTAGCCAGTGATATCGGACGTACGAAAAGAACTAACTCCGTGAGGTTGAAATTTGGTTCTGCCCGACTAGCTCCACGGAATCGCCTATAGTGTTGACTGCGCGCAGACGTAATGTGGAACTAAATATGGCCGGAAAATATTCGTTCATACATATATATATATATATATATATATATATATATATATATATATATATATATATATATATATATATATATATATATATATATATATATATATATATATATATATAAAGAGAGAGAGAGAAAGAGAGAGATAGAGAGATGCATCCGCGATAGATCTTACATCGTACATTCTAAAGCGCACTTACCGGGAACACGACTGGAGGTGTCTCGCAAATATGAAACGTCATAACCGCAGCTACAGATTAAACGAGACGTACTATCTATACAGCACACTCCAATACGGAATACCTACAAGTGTAATAGCGACACAACTCTCTCGCATTCTTCGGGTATGTGCGCCTTAAAGCCGACATTTTACAGCGAAGCTGTATATGACTCGCAGGTCAGATTTATTCGTGTAAGCATCCTCACAAAAAAAAAAAAAAAAAAGAGAAAAACTAACGATCGATTTTAAAGGTGCATATCAGGTATACAACATACAACAGAGCATTCGTTTAAAAAAAAAACAGCATAAGACAAGCATCCGAACAACGAGGTTGAGGGGCTTAAAGCGATAAACTGGTACCCCCGTTCACCAGGCAAAAGTGACCCCCCCCCCCCCTCCCCCCTGGCTCCCGCCATGTTGTAGAATTTTGACCACTAGACATGTGACCGTACCAAAACATGAGGCTTTTAAGCAAAACTGAGTCAAAATTTGTATTGCAATCGCTGTAAAAAAAAAAAAACAAGAAAAAAAAACTATTTTTTAATATTGTTAGCCCCAGAGATCAGTGTCTAGGTCCATTGAAAACCCAAAATACAATACAGCACCGCGGCTGACGACATCTAGCGAAGCCATTGCGGAGCTGCCCGAGTTTTTGTCGTAAAAGCATATTTTGGACTCAAATTAAACGAAACATGACTTATCTCGTCGATACTGTTAATAAAGATCAATGAGCAATTATCCCTGCCCGGTACTTTATTAAATTCTGGACGTAAAACTATAAGGTCACGTGTCTAGTGGTCAAAATTGTGCAACATGCGGCGGCCGGGTGGGGGTCACTTTCAGCTGCCAGTTTATCGCTCTAAGCCCCATTACCTCTTTGCATTCGAACCACATAATTGATGATCAGGCGCACCTCATAACAATGCGAAGCACGTAAAGGCTCTGTTATACTCCGACGTAACGCGTGCGCGCGTGCAAGCGCGTCACAGCGACGTCACGTCGGCGAAAACCCGACGCTTTATACTCCGGCGTCGTGGCGCAACCGACGCGACCGGCGGCGTTCGACGCAGCCCGACCGCCTCGACGCCAAAATGGAGCATGCCCTATTCCGCGCCGGCCGCGCCAGCGACGCCGGACCAGGATGCATCACGCGCTGGTTCCCGGCAGCCCACGCGCGGGAAGCGCGGCGAATACGAGCAATAGCAGACGGCGGGAGCACCACTCCGTGTGGCGTCATGTTTGAAGAATCGGACTCGGTCGTCGAGAAGCTCATCGGGGGAATTCGTCCTCACCCGTGTGTCTACGACACGAGGAAGCTTGAGTGCCGTAGACCGTGCGCTTGTCAAAGATGTACCGTATGCACATTGACCGCCAACGCTTGCGGCGCAGGTGGTGCACCAACAGTGCAAGCGCGAGTTTTCGTCGTGCAAGGTACGTCCACGCCATCGCTCGAACTTGGCGCTGAAGAAGCGCGAGAATTCTCGTCTGCTATTCGAAACGAAAAGGAACCGGAAATGGCGCACTCTCGCAGGAAACGCGTCCTCGTAGCCAGATTCTGCGCATGCGCCGCGCTGGCGGCCCACCGACGCGCGCCGCGGAAGTCGCCAGGGCCGCCGGAGTATAGAGAGATCGAATTTTGGACGCGCGCGGCGTGACTGACGTGACGCAGCCGACTTCGGCCAGCGTTCGCTTGCACGCGCGTTACGTCGGAGTATAACAGAGCCTTAACGCTTATCGCATACGTTTTGTGGTAAAGATTACTGTTGCGCAAGCTGCGGCGGCAATGGCAGCTTGCGACGTGGGGAGCGACGTCACTAGCTTTTCACACGATATAAAAAGTTGTGGTAAAGTGCATTTACTTACAGGCCATACCACAGCTTCGCTGGCAAACCACCTTCAAAGTGTGGATCCAAACCCCGCCTTTTGTTGTTGTTGTTTTCTTCTCGCGTATGTGTGCAGCATCCGGATCGGCGCCAACGAGAACGTTGTCAGGCCGAGCGCAGGGGTTAGGTGCTATTGAGACGTCACTCTGAATTACAGCCTCCGCATTCTGATACGCGAAGAACGATCGTGTACACGGTTCCCGACAAAGATCCTCTCTGCGATGCAACGCAGTACTGTTGACCGCGAGCACCAAACACTCCCTCGAAACGGCTTTTTTTTTTTTTTTTGTCATAGGTTACATTTGTGTGAGACTGTGAAGACAATCGTGGGCCACCCTGATATTGACCCCTCTTGAGAAGTGCAAGTATTGTTTGTAATTAGTGAGAAAATAAATGCACACAGTGACACTTGGCACGGCGGAAGAGTGCGACGATGGCTCGCGACACGAGGTTCGGGGGGAAGAATGATGACAACGGACCAACTCCGACGTTTCATTTGGCTTTCGGTTAGTATTGTTCTGGATTAAAGAGACTTTCGGTTCCTTTAGCGCTTCAGGGAGGTCGCAAAGTCACTGAAGGGAAAACGAGGAACTACGCTAGCTGCGTCATTCTCCCAGCATACACCACTGCTAGCGGAATAAAGGAAGAACTGTCCAAGAAGTCATCGAAGCGGGCAAATCTCGCCGCCACAAGGGCTATTAATTAACGATAGCGCAGGAGACGCCACACAAGAGTTTAGACGTGAGACGAAGCTGTAAAGTGAGGAAATGTAAAAATATATATATATATTTCTTATATTAAATACTATTCACGGTACAGTACCCTCCATTCGCACAAAGCAATCAATGGGGTGCACTGCATATTCACGGTACAATATCCAACGACGCAACGTTTGCAATTAGGGTTTCATTTAACTATAACAAATATGCATATTAAACTTTCGATGAAACTTGCCTGGTATTCGTCTGAATGTCACGCTATTCTCACACCTACTGCCCCAAACGCTACGGCGTATTTAACCTCGTTATTTCACCGTGGCGTTTGTATCCAAGAATTTCGGCATAGCGTTACCGTCACTCTGTGGACGTTACCTCCAGCAAACGACTTGACCAAGAATGTACAGCGAAACGACAAAAGTGTTAACTAAAAAATCCGCGATTTTATACCGCGCGGCTGGAAAGAAGTTATAGTGCATTTACGGTGGCGTGACGCGTGTCCAAGTGACAGCTAGCGCGCAGTAACTGCAGGTCGTGTGCTTCGGTCCCGCTGCGGGCTTCCCAAGGTCTATCCATACAGCGTGAAAGTTCGTCTGTCTTCCGCGCACCTTGTGCACTCGTTTACGCACCGAATCATCCATGTGTTTTTGTAGCCCGTCCCCCACCCCCTTCACACACACAGACACACACACACACACACACACGCACAGTTCTGAGACGGTGTGCCTGTGCATGCCCATTACTTTACCTTTCCCCAGCCTCGGGGTATTTTTCATTGAGGAGAGGAGTTGCCGGTCCCGAATGGCTGAGCGCACGCACCGGAATAACGGGGTGAAGAATACAGCGGCGGCGGCAGCAAGCGCATTAATTAATTGATAACGTAACTGATGACGTCAGCGGGAGTTTTCGCGGAGGACGATCACAAAATTTGCCCTGAGAGATTTTCAATAACACTGTCGCTGTCAAAATGTAGAGGTATGAATTGACGAATGACTAAAACGTTTTCCTCGCGGAACGTCGCATGGCCATGGTTCTACCATGAAAGTAGATGTGACGACAGTGTGAATTTGTGGACCGCTTCGACCGTCCAGCAAGACTCTCTGCAAACAGCTACAAGATCCGTATCTCGGCAGACAAGGCTAACGACGCGCGAGCGCGTTGCGTCGCGTCTTCGTAGGAAAAGTGGTCTATGAAAACTCTCAGATAATGATAACGGTGTGTCTGGAAGAATATACGTCACGACTTTATAATGTCCGTGACAGCGTCATTTTACCTAATAAAAACTCTACGCTCGTGCAGTATCCAGAAAATTACGGTTTCACGCAGATGCTATTGACTTCATTTATAATATTAAAAGACCTCATATTATACTCACTGACGGCTTAAGAAACACTTGGATCATTATGATCACTCTTGCATCGCGATTCGATCTTGGGCGTCATTTGCAACTTTCACGACCTATAGCGTGCGCACTTGTGCCTATCCAAATGGTTGCCATTTGGATGATTGTCCTAGATAGAGTAAACTAGA